ACAAAATTTCATTTCAATCGGTTTTTTTTAATGGCATAATAAGCCGGTAAACGAGCAGACGGGTCACCTGACGGTAAGCAATCGGCGTCGCCCATGGACACCTGGAACACCAGAGGCGTTACAAGTGCGTTACCGGCCTTTTGGGGATTAGGAGTTTGTGGATTGTTGGGGATTCAGGAATTGCGGAGATAGGGGAAGGGGAGGGTAATTGGGCCTCCGGTAACCTCACTCACACGACGAAACACAACGCAAGCGTTGCTTCACGTCGGTTTTCTGCTCGGCCGTGGTATCACTCGGTCGAGCCGGCCCATTCGTGCCGAAGCATGGCTCTTAAGTATTTAAGAAGGTTGAAGATAAAATGAATATTTTTAACAACTGACAGCCCTGTAAACTGGACGAATTGTTGTAGTTACGTACCTACAATGAGCATTACAAAACCGGCGTTGAAGTGACTCAGCAACACAATTTAGTACTACGCTTTATACTTGTGTGCCCTACATTGTGACGGAAACAGAGCCGTATTAGCCCTAAGGTACACTAAGTGTGCAGGGCGCCAAGTCGGAGAGCGGCGCCGGGAGTCACGCGTGCTGAACTGCTAATAGTGGCTGTGGCGCCAAAAAAATTAGAGGCGCCTGCGCCTATGATGTCATTACTTTTTTTTAAGGGGGGAAAATCATCGAATAATTGCTCCCGCGTGGGTGAGGCGGGAGGGAGTGTCAGACTCTTACTGACTAAAAACCACCCCGTTCCTTCTCCTGCACGTCGAGCCGGAGCCCCGGTTACCCGTTAGGTTCTCCGCGACATGATGTCATTGCTTAGGGCTCACTTTAGTTTTAATCCGCCTGTGATTGGAAATATTATTTGCATGGACCTGTGTGTCGTGGTGCACCACAAGCCTACCATTTTCATACATTTTCACTATGGTTAGAGACACACTCGTATGTCGTGGCTTGTCGCATGGGTCGCCAAATATTTCCAGCCGATTGGTGGTCAATGCGGCATGCATACAACACTTTGACTTCAATTGACGGCATGGTTGGTGCGGTAGAAGAGCAACCGGCTGCCGCGCAACGTGTCGTGGGTTCGATTCCCGCACGGAGCAACTTTTTGTTTAATCCAGAAAATCTTGTACTGGGGCTGGGTGTCAATGTGAACTTGTATGTTTGTAAACGCACCCACGGTACAGGAGAAAAACCTAGTGTGGGACAGTATAAAAAAAAGAAAATGTGGAACCTAAATAGGTAGTTTTAGTTGTATTATGGTATTGGTAAAACTTACTAACACTTTAATTGTCATTAACAAAATGTTTTCTTTATTATTTCGTCAGTTCATTTTCATCAATCTTGCATTTATAGAACTTTGACTTTAGTAACTTCTTTAAATTGTTACCCTGAGGATTTAAGGAGTAATTTAATTAGATGAAAAATTATTACTCAGGTACTTATAAATATGATCTACAACAGAATTAATCTACCAACACAAAAATGCCCTAATTCTTGAACACTAAACCGGTATAATATATATTTTTTTAACATAATTCTTTTACTAGCTGTAGTTTTTATACTTAACCCATATATCCCTAAGCGGTCACCGGTGACTGCTGTCCACAAACTACATTATAGACTTTATTTCCAATACTTAGAGACTACTTTTGTATGAACAAATTTAGGGGATGATATTCAACGGGTTAATACTAGTAACTATTTTTTTATACTTAATAGTATTAACTGTTCAATGCCCAAGCAGTTACAAGTTGGGCTCGCTGCCATTGCAGCGGTAAGACCCCTCTTTGAGGAGTGGCTTGAGAGACGCTACAGCGTCCTCACCTACCGCCTGACGCAGGTCCTCACCAGACATGGAAGTTTCGGGAGGTACCTGTGTCTGATGGGGCGGGAGGAAACGCCCGGGTGTCATCACTGCGAGGACCGCCCTGAGGACACGGTGGAACACACCGTACCGGAATGCCCTGCGTGGGCTGAGCACCGCCGTGCCCTCAGGGAAGTGATCGGCGATGGCGACCTCTCGCGTCCGGGCCTAGTGCAGGCCATGATGCGGAGCGAGGGGGACTGGGATGCCGTCTCCTCCTTTTGCGAAGCAGTCATGCTAGCTAAGGAGGAGGCGGGACGCGTGAGGCAGCGAAGCGCTGCCTCCTCGCAACCCAGCCATCGCGAAGGACACATCGGGCGTCGGGGATCGCGGGACGATCTCCGGCCACCGTAAGCGCGGGCCTGCGGACGGCGAGCATGGGTGGCTCCCCGTCCGACCAGAAACAGACCCGAGCGTACGGCGCGTCGCGTTCCGCGCGCGCCTCAAAGAGCCATCAGACCACCACAGATGGGGCCCAATAGGGCCGATGCCGATTCGGAGTCGCGGAGAACCTAACGGGTAACCGGGGCTCCGGCTCGACGTGCAGGAGAAGGAACGGGGTGGTTTTTAGTCAGTAAGAGTCTGACACTCCCTTCCGCCTCACCCAGGCGGGAGCAGTCATTCGATGATTTTCCCCCCTTAAAAAAAAAAAAAAAAAAAAGCAGTTACAAGTGTCCGTCACCACTAACTCCATTATAGACCTTATTTCCAATGTTTAGAATCTACTTTTGTATGAACAAATTTAGCGGATGATATATCAACATATTATGTAAAAAAAAGTTATATATCATAGTTTGGCCACTATCTCGCCGGTGTTAGGCAATGATGCAGCCTACGATGCAATACACCTATTTATAGAAGACAGTCAGTTTATACCTTTCCTGGAATCATTGATTCTGGCAAGGACTTCCACTCTAGTATACTGCACATGCACAAGGAAAAACGAAGCAAATGACTTCATTGCAAGTGGGTGGAACATATACCATATAGTCCATATAATAGTGATTTGTATTATAACTTGTGTGAAGCATACTTAATGATTAATTACTGGGAGAAAATGCAATATGGCATTAAGTCCGCCTTATGTACCTCATTTTGTGTGCATTAAACTGTCAAACACCAAGCGGTCACCGGTGACCGCGACCTATTGTTCTTTAATTGTGTCTATAATGACGGTACTCAACGAGTTAAAGCGTTAATAAATAAATAAAAAAATTGAAATTAATTACATTTTTTGGCTTATTAACATAGCCATTTTAGACGGTTGTAAATATGAGTGTCTATAGCATGAAACTAGTAGACTTTCTCATCAAACAGTTATATGGAAGTAAACGGAAATATATAATAAGTAGTATAATAATGATATTAGTATGAAATTAAACATTTGTTTATAAGAAACATGTTTTTATGAATATGTACTAATTAAATTCTTATTAGAATGAGGCCAAAAATAATAAAATTATATTAGTTGTTAAAAGGAAAATGTGGTGAATCTGTGTCTGTTTAAACACATGTTGATTTGTCAATGGGTCAACTTTGATAATAATAATGTGTATATGCATATTATCATAATAAAATGAACACTAGTGTTTTGGTCGTAAAATTATTTTATTATCTGTCATTTTCATGAAATCTATATTTAATTTGATTATTCTTCTCTAATTATAAAATTGACTTATTCTTATTACATTATAATAAGATTAAGTTTTAGTTTAGTTTAGTTAGTTAAAATTCCTATTAGAATAAAGCAAGATTAAATATTTTTTTATTATGAATTTTGTTCATGTGGTAATGAGAAAATAAATGTTCCATCAAACAATAAAAAAAGTTGAAATAAAGGTGCATTATGTATCTTCATCTATAAAGGCGTTAGTGACGCTGATATCAACATCATACTGCCTCTATGCATATTTATTTTGTTCTAAATGAATGGTCTTGTGCAATGTATAGTCGACTGCATTCGCGAGATACAGTGCCAAGGTCAGAAGGCAATAAACATAAATATTAAAATATACCTATAGCGCGTGGCAATGCGTTTAAAAAAAGTAACAATAATAGTAATACGCTTTACAAACTGGAGTCTTGTAATACATACTGCCAAACGGATTTCCGATCATTGCTTCAGTTACGAAAAAAAAAAACAAAATAAATAATAAGGTCAAGCGAAAATCGGTAACGACCTTTGTAAGACTTCGTAAATAAATTAAGTTTTTTCCTCATAACAAGTAAGTTACTAATATAATAAATATTACTATAAATTATTACTTACCAAAATCTATAAACTGCTTTATAGATAACGGCGAAGGGTTGAATTGTGAGTAGAAATCAAGCATTTTCGTAACATTGGAGAAAATAGCTCCCGCTAACCTCATCTTGAATGATTTTTAAAAACGTTTACAAATTCAAGAATAGTAAAATATACACTTCAAAACTTGTTCACAGTCACAGCTGATTAAAACACATGTTTAACTAATATTTAATAAATTTCTTTTTCACCGGCACAAACTTCACACGAGTGCGTAAAATTTTCGACTGAATTAGTGTTGCCCGCTACACCGTACTATATATTTCAATGAAAAGTGAACTTTGAACTTCAGTGTTTCAACTAGAAAATATACAGACAGCTGTTCTTTCTGAGTGTTTTTATTTGGTTTTATAAAACATATTATGTTAATTTACATTTGAATTTATTATAAATCGTTTATAATTAAATTATTAGTATATTTATCTTGCACAATTGCAAATCGACCTAAAAAGTTTTAATCCAATGAAAGTTAATACTAGGTCTGTTCATTTTAGCGTTCCATAATCCAATAAGTACTATAATAAGTAAGACAACTCCAAGATATATTTATTTTTTTCGTATTGTACAATAATTAGACATAAGTTAAAATTATTTTATATTTATCGGTGCAATATTTTTTAGTAACATTATTGTCGTCTGTCTGACAAAAAATAAAATGACAGCTGAAAAATAAATTATAGCCGCAGGCAGCTGACTTTGACATTTCAGAAGAAAATATTAGGAAAAACATACTTTATATTTTCTGTTTCAGCTGATTTCGGTTCCAAATAGCAACAAAAAGGTTTTTTAATTTGTTTTAAAATGTTAGAGTGAAACGTAAAACTGTAAAATGCATAAGTTTTCCGCCTTCCCTGTTCACAAAATTCCCAAACCTATTGATGTGCATACGATAAGAACTGTGAGTTCTCTACACCCTGTTCCTAATTCCTTTTTTAAACTTCCTTCATTTTCGCGCCGATAAAATAAAAATTCTAGAATTTTATTACAATTTGTAAACGGTGCGTTTTAGGATATCCCTGGAAGGCAAACTGAAAGTTTGATAATGAATGCATTGTAGAATATCTTATCACTTTTTAAATTATTGCAAGAGGGTTCTTATCATCAGTCACCTCATGTAAAAATTGCCAGTCGTGTTTTGTTAGTGCTTGTAAAGTTCAAGTTAGAAAAAGGGACTGGGGAGAGTGGATAGTGAGTGACTATTAAGATAACTTTTTCTACTTGTTAACTGTGGGAGACCTATGCTTCGGCACGAATAGGCTGGCTCGACCGGAGAGATACCACGGCCTCAAAGAAAACAGACTTGAATCAACTGGAGGCCCAATTGAATTCCCCAATCTCCCTGATCTCTGAATCTCCAACAATCCTCAAATTCCAAAACCCCAAAGCCCGGTAATGCACTTTTAACACCTCTGGTGTTCATGGGCGACGCTAATTACTTACCACCGATCCGTCTGCTCATTTACCGGCGGCTCATTTTATCCTAAGACTGATGCTAACAATGTAGTTTTTGATGATAACAATGGAAAACAGTGAACTACTTTGTAATAAGCACCTAGCTTTACTGATGGACTTACCATTTAATTATTTTTTTGGACGATGTTTCAAAATACCTCTATATTATGCTTCAGCTGAAACTGCTGAAATTTTTTACTTTGGACTTCTGACACTGTTAACTTGATGGTAGTTTTTAAATCGACCAATCAAAAGAAAAAACAATGGTTCTATATTTTTACAAGCTTCTATTTATGTTTTTATAATAACTATTATAAGACATACAAAATTAACTAAAATCGCGGGTTACTCACGTGAATATACTGAGAAAAGCTCTACTAGTTTCAACCACAGAGGGGCTCTTCCTCATGAGCAGAGTGCTGAGTAATCCGTGATTTTAGTTATTTAACTCGTCGAGTACCGGTTTTATAGACACAATTAAAGAACAATAGGTCGCGGTCACCGGTGACCGCTTGGCGTTTGACAGTTTAAGCTTCTATTTAACTTGCTATGTATGTATGTGTGTGTGTGATCTGAATTTTGAAGCACATACATATCTTTTGTATACATGTTTAGTTTGCACAACAATGAATGCTAAGTTATATAAAAGATTGTTTTTAATAAATTTCCAGATCATGCAGAAAGTATTTGTGTACGGCACTCTTAAACGGAATGAGCCAAACCACTCTTTGCTGCAGGATGCCAATAATGGCGTTGGTTGCTTTGTAGCAGAAGGTTACACCAAGACCAAGTATCCGTTGATTATTGCAACTAAATATAATATACCATTCATCCTACACTGCCCTGGGAAAGGACATTTTGTACAAGGTATGATTTTATTTATTTATTCTGACATCTAGTTGTTGCTACATATGTATTTAACATTCACTTAAAATTAAGGATTAACAATCTTACTACTAACGCACCACATTTGAAGGACATCACAGCATTAATGAACAGCATTACACACTGGTATTAATGAAATTTAATTGTATGTGCCTTTTGTATTTGCCTTTATTATATTTCAATGCATAGCATCACCCTTTGTATTTACCGATGGTGTATGTAGGTATAGCCAGAGCCGTATTATTCTTAAAGCAAACTAGGCAAGTACCTAGGGCGCCAGGTGACTAAAGGGCGCCAGGTGACTGAAGGGCACCAGGTGACTGAAGGGCGCCGGGAGACTGAAGGGCGCCAGGTGACTGAAGGGCGCTGCGAGACGTCCGTACTTAAGGGCGCCTATGAGGTGCTTGCCTACGACGCGACGCTCTCTAGGTTTATTCCTCTTCTAGTTATAGCATACGGCGGGTCGCCGTTCGCGCGCTTGAAAGAACCATGCTTCACAGATCAGGCCCAGTAGGTCTGCGGACCACTTCGCGGGTTACAGGGGCTTAGGATCGAAGCAGGAGTAGGAAACGGGGGTTTTTAGTCAGTAAGAGTCTGAAACTCCCCTCTCACTTCAGCCAAGGTCATTTAATGATCTTTCCACTAATAAAACAGTATAGAACCGTTCTTGGCAGCTGCTTGCGCATTGCTGATTCGAAGCTTCCTCATGTACTAACTCCTGGTCTTGTTTCAGGTGAGATATATGATGTAGATGAGAAAATGCTTGGCAAACTTGACATACTGGAAGACCATCCCAATTACTACATACGAGAGATTGATGACATCATAATCAAAGATACGTAAGTTAATAATTTGTTGAAGTAAAGACAGCAGTATTAACCTTTTTACACCAAATAAATATTATTTGTTATTTATTAACCTTTAAATAAAGTTGAAAAGTTTGTTTGTTTGAATGCACTTTGAATCTCTGAAAGTACTAGTTCGAATTGGACCTTCTTTTTCATTTATATTTGACTGGCTACTTCCGCGCGATTTCACACGCTCTGCTCTGCTCCTATTGGTCGTAGTGTGATATTTTATAGCCTATAGCCATCCTCGATAAATGCGCTATCCAACGCAAAAAGAATTATTCAAATCAGACTTGTAGTTACGGAGATTAGCGCGTTCAAACAGACAAACAAAAAAAAACTTCCGGTTTATATAATAGTATAAGATGGGCCGACGTTTGACCACTATCTCGCCTGGTGGTAAATGATGATGCGGTCTACGATGGAGCACGTCTTCCCATAAGCAACCTGTTCAATCGGGCCTTGAAGACACCCACCCTTCAGGAAACAGCCTCTGGCAAATAATTTCACTACTTAGCATTACGCACAAGGAAGCTACATGGGACATCTACCATGAATCGGGGATTACTGGTTCGGATTGAACTATTTTTTGTGTTAGTGTATTTATCAAGGAAGGCTATAGCTTTTAAAACAACAGGCTACGATCAATGGGCCGAATCGATGACCGAGCAGGGGGTGAAACCTCGCGGGAGCAATCTAATATACATATAAAATTCTCGTGTCACAGTTTTCGTTGCCATACTCCTCCGAAATGAATCATGAGAACCGTCTTACATCTCCGGGCCAACACGACATTTAAATATTAAATATCAATTAATGTACATTTTCACACCATTCTGTATAACCTGTGTTCACGAATAAATTAATAATTTGATGTTATTCTCATAATTTTCAGATTATCACAATGTCCTCAAGAGGAAAAATGTTGGGTGTATTTCCTGAAGAACTTTAAGCCTGAACTTCTGAAGCGGCCATATTTGGACAATTACAGTTCTAGTGGGAGCCATGGGTTGCAGTATATGGAAAGGTCTAAAAGAGATCCCTCGTATAACCATAAAAATGAAATTAAGGCTGATTCAAGTACACAAATGAGATCTGAACCTGAGTCGACCCCATATTCATGATAGGACAAAAGGTCAGTAGAACATTTTTTTGTAACTAACTTTTTAAAACATAACTTTTTTCGCATTTATGGGTTCAAGAGAGTCCGAGTTTGTTTTACGTTACCGCGATTAACACGTTTATGACGTTCGGCGCTCTGATTGGGTGCTCTAAGTTACCAACCAATTGGGTACTTACCAACTAGTCAAATTCAATACTTTTTTCGAACTGTCAAAAACGACAGTTTTCTATAAATTTTGTTAGAGATTGTATATTGTGACGTCACGTTTTTTTGCGTCAAACAGCATACTTATTTCTTAAAAAATTGCTGGAAAAATATTAAAATTAAGTTGGTGATAATATTAATGAAAGACAGTGTGATTATTTTTAAATATTTTATCGTATTAAACAGTCGAAATTATTTATTTTTGGTTACGGAAAATACCTAATTATAGAGCTAAATACGGTAACGTTTCGATGGCGTTCACGTAAAAATAACTCGCGCTCAGGACATAATATGTCCGTCGATTGAACCTAGTAGTTATAAAAAGAACTTGTATATTTATCAAAAAATTTAATTTCCAATTGTCCTACTGCCTTTTGTACTTTGGTGGATTTCGTGGCTTATGGCTTTCGTTCAGGATTTAGTTCTTTGGTCAGACTATTTTGAAATCCTTCGCAAAAGGGTAGATGACTGATTTTTATTTTAATGTCCGTCTGGTAGATTATTTTAAAACATTACACACGTATTTTTTTTACAGAAACGAATACTTTCGACGGTATATTGATTTGAAATGTCGCGTGACGTCACTTCTATGTACATTTTATACGTAGAAATGACGTTTTAGCCCTCACTCCTAACCTTTAATTCGTTATGTATATCTAAGTATCATTTTATTATACGACAAAATAAAAAAATACGTGTCTAATGTTTTTTCATTACCTAACTGACGGACTAATTAGATTTTTAATTTTCATACCCTGTCATCATCCTAATTAGTTAAGTATTATAAACCTGCTTGGTCAAGTGGTAGCAAATGCGCCTACCATGGTTCATTCTGAAATTTACTAGGGGGCGATTTTTGTAACGACACAAAAATTTTATCTGAAGTATAACTTTCAATATTTTACAATTCTTCCATACGGAGAACTGTCGAATGTCATTTTTTTAACTGTAGAATACTAACTTAATATTAAATTAATATGAAAAATCGGCCCTTAGTATGCTTATAAAATTTAGCAATAGACTATATTGCAGGGTGACTTGTAACTCGACGTATTCCTACAAAATTAGCCCTGAGGTCCCTGGTCCTGAACTGGCTAGATTCTGTACTATTCAACATTTTTAGTTTTTGTCAAAAAAACCTGATCTGACTACAAAAACACCAATATATAAAAAAACTACTGGTTTCATTTAGATGATTTTGGTTTTATTTTTTTTTATAGCATAAGCCGGTAAACGAGCATACGGGTGACCTGATGGTAAGCAATCGGCGTCGCCCATGAACACCCGAAATACCAAGGGGTTACAAGTGCGTTACCGGCCTTTTGGGAATTGGGAGTTTGAGGATTGTAGGGATTCAGGGATTGGGGAGATTGAGGAGAGGAGTAATTGGGCCTCCGGTAACCCTAACCTCACTCATACGTCGGTTTTCTGTGAGGACGTGGTATCACTCTGGTCGAGCTGGCCATTCGTGCCGAAGCATGGCACTCTCCATACTTGTTTTCAATACATCAATGTTTTCAATACATTTATTTATACTTATGCTGGCAGAAATATAATTCGTTTTAAAATAGCAAGTAAACTAGTGTCAAATTTTGTAGGAAATTAGTTGTATTATCACCTCCCGAAAGGAATACGTCGAGTTACAAGTCACCCTGTATAGTGTTACATCTAATCGGAGCCGTATTATCCCTCAGGCAAACTAGGTTAAAGCCTAGGGCCCCCAACTGGATATAAAGCGGTCGCGGCGCCAACAAAAATTAACTATGAGGTGCTTGCTTATGGCGCTCTCTATATAGGTTTTTATCCGACTCTGAAAAATGTAATGTATGCACCACTGCGTATCTCTTTGGTGAATAAAAGGCAAGATCTCATTATATCTTTCTTTTTTGCAGTAAGCCCTCAAAAGATTTAGTCTATAAAGCAATGGACACCCTATTAAATAAGAAGACAAAATGAAAATTAAATTGTCCACGTTATCTACTTTGCAAATTGTAAATAACGTTTCATTTTATATAACTAACAGGTTGAAAAAACTTGGTGTATTTTTTTTTTGTTTTTCGTTGTAATATATTATATTAATTGTTGAAAGCTGCTTCTCTTTTTTTATTTTATAGAGTTTTCATATAGTCTATGGAACAAATTAGAATAGGAATTGTTCAATTGCATTTTTATCTAGTTTTTGAAGGCGGGCAAATTGTTTTGAAAGGTGGGCATTACTTATCAAAGACGTGTGTTCACATTTAATTTGTTTGATTGGCAATTATTTTTGTTTTTGTTTTGTTTAACAGTCTTTTTTTAAGTATTATGAACTTCACGAGATCAAAAAATTAGTTCATCATTTTGTGCACAGTCAAATTTATATCGTTTTCGTACCGCGGCAAAACAACTTGCTATAAGGAGTATTTTTGATGCATACATTAAAAAAAAATAATAAACAAGCGCATATTTTTTACTTAAAAAAAATATTCGTCGTCTTACGCTACGAGACACTGAAGGTAAATTTGTAGACACTATTTGCATCGCGCGTGCCATCTGATAAGAATTGCCTCTTCGATAATTACATGGCGTGATGTTTTCGCAATGTACTTTTTTTTTAAGGGGGGAAAATCATCGAATGACTCGGGGAGTGTCAGACTCTTACTGACTAAAACCACCCCGTTCCTTCTCCTGCACGTCGAGCCGGAGCCCCGGTAACCCGTTAGGTTCTCCGCGATTCGCAATGTACTATGACTATGAGTATGTTCAAATCCGCTTTCGAAGTTTGCTTTTTGCAATGGTTTACCAGTTATTTGTTGTTTTAAACATTTTATTTCTTTATAAAACTATTGTGTTACCGAGACAGAATCATTTTACTTCGGTACGAAAACGACATTATTTTTTATTTGTACCGGCGATCAGTCGCAAGATTATAAGCTGATGAGTTCAGTTGTTATGGCAAAAAACGAAAACGATATGAATTTCACGGCCTATGTATAAAAATATGCCATTTTATGCATATTTACCGAAGGGATATACAGACGCACACATACATAATGTAACACCCACTTCTCCCCAGCAATTTTATGAGTCCCATATTATATTGGGTGCTACCTTATATGAATATTATATATTTTTTATTTTCAGAAATAACGAATCTGTGATCGAGGATCTAGATGACGACGTGACTGCAAGCAACACTAATAATTAGTTTTATAAATATTCCAAAATTGCACAAAAATTGAGCTTATGAAAAAGTTAGAAGATTGTTATTCAATCTGTTATTAGATTTTTTTTCTGAGACGCTTTTGAGATGTTAGAATATTATCCTAATGTGGAACAATGGTTTTAATATATTTTTTTTTAAATAAAACATTCCAATTCTATACATATCTGACAAGACTTGTTTATTGTTCTTATTCACCAGGTGGCGCTACATACAAATTTGTTAAGGTCCTTTTTATTATAATACATCAAAAAAGTGTGGTATATTACTTTGATGTCTCGAAAATAAATATTTATTCTGATTATGTAAAGAGACTACCCCTATACTTATTATAGGTATTCTTTGACAGACGATAATCACTGTTTGGCTACTGAGCCAACCAATGATTACAAAAGATATGGTACATAATATAATTTAACTGTCTCTGTACTGAATCAATTTGTATTTATTTACCTGCATGGCTGCATACTAAATAATTTAGCTGACTGTACAGTCAGCTAAGTAATTTAGAATACAGTTAAAAAAATACATTGAAAGAAAAGATAGACTAAAGTACTATTTTTGGTCAAGTTTCACGTGCACAAACGGTAGTTGAGAGGCTGACGCTTTCTGCACACAAGTATGTATATATGGGAAGAACTTTAATAAATTTTCAATAGCGTTGAAATTACTTTTTAAAACTAGCGCTATTTTTTTGTTAATACCTTTAAATGACTCTCCTCTAAGGTATATGTTTTCGACATATGACTCCATGTCATCGAAATGAATTATTTTTGCCAGTTTTCAAAACAAATTCTCCACTATTGGAAACCTATACATATGTCAGTTAAAATTTTATCGATATCGATGTTATCTGAATGGTACGCATCCCTATCCATTAATCGTTCAATCGTTCATCAGGATTTTAATATTGGTAGCTCTGTTTCAAAAGCCAAATCTCCGACTTGCTCTGTCAGCTCTGTGCATAGATAACCTGTGGCCTGTGGCTCATTTCGAGTTTCGACGTCAAAGTGGCAATGTCAAACTGACTGTCAACCGCGCGTGTTTGTAGAGGTTATATTGTTTACGAAATACGAAAGACGGAATATTTAGTAATTTTAGTTGGTATTTAAATGAAATCAATTTGTAATTAGTTAAAGAGGGCCTGAATAATGGATTTTGCGAGAAAACAACTGGAGAAATACGGCTGGACCGATGGTAAGTTATCATGTTATTATTATTTTTTATCTTGAACTTTTTTAGTCGTGGTATTTATTTTTATTCTCATATTTTCAAAGATTTCAGTTTAAAATAAGTTTCACTATCTTTTTTACTTCAATAACACAATAACTATATAGTTTTAGGTTTAAAAGAACTCGTGGTCTTGTATAAATAACAAATATCGAGATGATAACTATCTCAGTGGTAATTACGCATGTTATTTTTGTGAACGTGGTCTTAATTCGTTCTGTATTATATCAGTGCTTTAGTTACGGAGTATATTATTGAATTGACTCACAATTAAATTGGTAAACAAACTAACCTTTACATAAAGAGAGTGTATTGTCGGTTTTTAATGATTTTTACTGTTAATGTATTAGTGTTATTAAATACCATCTTCTCGTATTGGTCATAACGTGGTGTTTTTGCCCGAGTACGGCAAAGCCGAAGACATTATAGCTTATGGTCTTCGTCAATAAATAAATTACCCAACATTAAAAAAAAAGGAGAGTAAAAATCATTTCTCAATCAAACCAGTAGTTCCAGAGGTGAAAGTAGAGTCCATTGATTTAAATCAAATTATATTATATAAGTTTTAGAGATGTTCTATTTTTTTTTTTGTAAGTGTGATTAAACTGCCATGGAATTGTTAAATACCACAGATAAAAAACATGTTTTTTTTTATTCACAGGCAAAGGGCTGGGTAAACACGAGAATGGTATATCAGAGGCATTGAAGCCTAAATTGAAGCGCAGTGTAGCAGGAGTGGGACATGATGCGGCCGCCGAGTTCAATGAGCACTGGTGGACCACTCTCTATGATAAGGCAGCTGCTAATGTTGAAGTGAGTGGTAGAAATAGTTTTATTTATTAACACACTTTTATTTGATTGACTTGTAACAAACTGAGGATCTGAATTACACACCTTTCTAAATTAGATGATGACAAGGTAAAATTAAACATCAAATTAGTCCGTCAGTTAGATAATAAATCTTTATTCATTATAAGAAATTGGTCATAGTACAGATAAACATCTTTTAAAATCAGAGATCTCACTAGGTTTGAATGCCTGTACTAGGGTATCACAGGCGAAAGGAGCACTCACATAATGTCTGCCTCGTTGGCCGAGTTGTCGCATTTACTACTGCTAGGCAAGGGGTCTCGGGTTCGATTCCCGGGTCGAGCAAAGTATTATTGGGATTTAAAAAAATCTCAGTAGTAGCACGTAGTCTGGAATTATGCCCGGTATATGGCAATAGGCTCACCCCCTTTTACATGGGACTCATAACATTAATAGTGGAAAGTGGGTGTTACGTCTGTGGGCACCTCTGCCTACCACTTCGGGGATAAAGGGCGTGACCGCTAGCGTTGGTCATCATTGTCCGACGCGGCATCTAATGTGTTAACCTATTATTGTTGTATCAGCATAAAAATTTGCAAATTATGTGAAGATTAGATGACCATATTATAGTACCAACAACCTGGTTATTACGTAAAGCAATTATAATAATAACTATAATTTGTTGTGTGAAAACATTATGTTAACTGTTTTAATACAAAAATCATTAAAATATACTTAAGAACGAAGTGATAGATAGATAATCAGTTGTCTCATCTGCCTACCAGAGATAATAATAACTGGACATGTTGAGATCCTACTTTCTTTATTTCAAATATTAAATACATAGTGTTAAAAAATAGTTTTAGATAAATTAAAATTGATATACAATGACATAATAATGAAATTTACTTTCAAAATTCTAGGTGAAAGAGAAGAATGGGAAAACAAAAGAAATCAAAACGAAAGATGATAAAGAATTCGTTATTACCAATAGCACTTGGAAACTGAATAAACAAAAGAAGGACGCTGAGAACGAGGAGCAGTACTCTGACTACTTCGTACGGACTGCGGTACTGACTAATGGTGCGAGTAACATGGAAAGAGTGAGGGAATCAGACTCCGAGGATGACACAGAAAAGAAAGATGTGTTCAAAATGACTGATGAAGAATTGTTTGCTAAATGCGAAGGCAGGACTGCACACAAGTTAGTATTATTCCCTTAAACAATGGTGATTAATGCTCCTACTTTCTCTGTGAAAAGTTGCCTTTACCCAGAGGGCACTTAGGCTGTTGATGATTATGATGACAACCATACTTTCATATTGCCTTTACCTCGCTAGTATTATAATGAATTCTAAAGTAAAATATGTCTATGTGTCTTAAAACAAACTGCTGTTAAAATATTTATTTTTAGAAATTTTACTCTTTATAGACAAATACTAGAATAACTCTTATTTTCTTTATAAGTAACATATTTTATTTTTATTTTTCAGAGGTGCTCGCCATGGCTTAAGAGCTATAGGAAAATTAGCAAGGATAGCGCAACAAGAGGCTCAACTACTTTCTCAAACAAAATACAGTGGATATTCACACTTCAAGAAATTAAAAGAAGAAGTTGACAGCATAAGCTTCCATATGGACACAGATAACACAGGAATTAAAAAGAAAACGAAGAAGAAACGCAATCGTTGTTACAATAACGAAAAACCTGATACAAGTATCACCAAATGTGAATTGGCTGAATCAGATGAGTTGTCTTTGCCTGACGAAAATCAAGTGACAGATGAAGACAATGCTGCCAACGCACAAAATGTAGAGAAAATTAGTAAAAAATCTAAAAAATCAAAAGATGAAAATCAAACCGTTGATGCGAGTCCTGAAATGAGTGTGGCTATTCCTAAATCTAAAAAGAAGAAGAAAAAATATGTATGTGAAGACATACCTGAAACTGAGGAAACGAACAATGATGAAGATGAAGTGCCTTCTGAAATTTCGCCTAAGAAGAAAAGTAAAAAGAAAATTAATAAAGATAATGAATTAGAATAAGAAACTTCGATAATGTGATGTTAATATAAGAAATTATAATGTACATTTTTATTAATTTTGTGTTTTATTTGTAATAAATAGTTATATTAACAAAGTTTTTGTTCAGTTTCAATTTGTATAACGCGTAATTATGCTAGAGGAGTAAAGGAAATTCTACCCTGTCATTAATAACATAGTAAACTTTAGCTCCTAATCCAATACCATAATAAATAAATAAAAGATCTTGATTTTTATAAGTTATTGAATTTCAATGAATAATCCTTCAAGCTTTATTCTTATTTGGTAGAATCTTAGATAAAGAAGTGGTAACACCAGTTTTTCTACCTGTCAAAGTTGTCAATATTTTCGACGAAGATCGAAATCGAAAAAAATTGTAAAAATGTCCCTAGGAAAGATATTAGCGCTCGATAAAGTTACTAATTTCTTCAATGCAATCCGCCAGAATGGTGGAATAAGAGCTTCTCTGTATAAACTGTACAGGTAATGAATTAATCCTTTTATTATGTAATTTACTTTTAGGTTATGTTTATACCAAAATTAACACTTTCACATAGTATCCAGGCAAAATGACACAAATACTTTCAATAATGTTTATTCCTCGACATAGCTGTGATGACAGAATAGTATTATTAACAATTTTCACTTCTAAAGTTCACTTAATTGTTCAGCAATATCTAACATTCAGTTTACTCTTCATTTTCAATTCTTATCTTATTTTTGACATACATAACATCACGCCTTTTATCCGCGAAGAGGTAGGCAGAGGTGCACAATACGGCACTTAATGCCACTGTACAATGTAACACCTACTTTTCACTATTTATGTTATGTATGAGTCCCATGTAATAGGGGGTGAGCTTATTGCTATATACCGGGCACAATTACAAACTCCGTGCTACTACTGAGAATTTTAAAAACCCAGTTATATGTTGCTTGACCCGGGAGTCGAACCCGAGACCCCTTGCCTAGCAGTCGCACTTGCAACCACTCGGCCAAAGTGGCAGTCTTATTTGAATCCTACTGAATATTGTTTTACAACACTGGAATTATAATTAAAATCAAATAGTGTTTTCTTACTTTTACATATTATATAAACGTAAATATTTGTATCTTTGGGAGCATAAATATTTGTCTATGAACCTGGTTTGTTGTGAAGTCGTAAGTACCTAAGTAAGAATCAAATTGAAAACGATCAAGACTGCTTCTGCTTTTCATGCCTTGCTGGAGCCCCGGCAACCCATTAGGCCTTCTGCTGCTCCATATATTCTGTTATGCTAGAACTCTTTTTAATATGAGATTGTAGGTACAATGTAAATGGATTGTTTAACACAAAAGTAATTATTGAATACAAAACAGAAGATTAGCATGTTGAAATAAACTCTTTAGATTTATATATTTTCTCTTACATTTTGGTAGTGCAATTGCAAAGTCAAAGCATTTATTTCAATTAAACCATAATTTGGTACTTTTGAAACATCAACAAATACAGCTAGTTGAAGCTAGGTGCTCATTCCAAAATGTAGATTCGAATGGAGGAGAATGAGCAAGGTTATCCTTTTTTAAAAAGTATGTTCTACAATGTCTCTGATGTGTGAATGTAAGGTACGGTATATGTGAGAACAATGCAACAACGCATTATACAAATTACAAAACTTACTAAAATAAATAAACATAAAAAAATCTTATAAGTAGTCTCCAAGTTCTTCTATACAAGAAAAAGGAAACTCTATGTTTCAATAAAGAAATTAGAATGAAAGTATTAAATTACCTACTATTGGAATCTAACTACTGACTACATTTGAGTATTGTCCAGTGGAGCCGAACCAACATGCTGCCAAGCATTCTTATCTTCAAGATAATCTGTCAGTTTGTAGTAAGCTTGATTACATAATTTGCGCTTAATTCACCAAAAGGCTCAACCCTTATTTTATAATAACATTAATAGTGCAGGTAATTAGTAACAGGGACTCATAAAATTACTAGAGAAAAGCGAGTATTATATTGCACAGTGGCATTAAGTGACACAATGTGGCCCTCTGCCTAGCCCTTCAGAGATAAAAGACGTGATGATATGATATGTTATTTAATAAATAAATATTCGTTTTCAGACAAGATGAACTCAAAGATGGCAAACTAATTGGTGAGGATAAATATGGAAACAAATACTATGAGAACCCTCGCTACTTCTACGGCAGGAACCGTTGGGTGGAATACAATGACAAGGCATATTTGAACTACGATGGAAGCCAGGTAAATCAATTTCAATTTAAGTACCTATATTACTATCACTACATAGTATAAAACAAAGTTGCTATCCGCAGTCTCTCTGTCCCTATGTATGTCCAGGTCTTTAAAACTACGCAACGGATATTGATGCGGTTTTTTTAATAGATAGAGTGATTCTTAAGGAAGGTTTATATGTATAATGCATGCATATTGCAGCCGTGCGAGGGCGGGCCGGGTCGCTAGTATAGGTATAAACTAAATTAATTATTATGCAGCTTACTCGCGTAACAGTTTGACGAGTCCTCTCTAATCAGTTGCAAGCCATGCTAGAGGCTCATATTCATGAGCAGCATTCTGCGAAACATGACACGGCGATAGTAGCAGCGCGACAGTCGCTGCATCGTGTATCGTGAAGCCGAATAGCATAATTAATATACATAGTATGTGTCCTGAAATTTATTAATTTACTAGCTTTTACCCGCGGCTTCGCTCGCGTCACAAAAGGATAAAAAGTAGCATAAGTGACTATCCATCCCTTCAACTACCTTCAGTTAAAAAATCACGTTAATAAGTACCTCCGTTCTGCCGTTTAAGACAGGCAAACAAACAAATAGCTTTCTGCTCGCGTGGAGTTCGGTTATATCGCGCTAGTTAGATTTTTCCAATAAGAAGGTAATTCGTTGACTGGTTTTAAATGACATACAACGCCATCTATACCAGTACATACAGCGCCATCTATACCAATATTTTTGTTTTAGGATAGGAAATATCAAATTTTGTCCGGGATAAAAAGTACCCTATTATTTAATCCGGATTTCTAACTTTCCGTCTGCAAAAATTCAAAGCAATCGGTTTAGTAGTTACGGCGTGAAAGCGGAATAAACAAACAAAAAAACTCACTTTCCGATTTATAATATTAGTAAGGATTTATTTATACGAATAGAACGGTACAAACAACCATTTACTTACACTTCTCAATACATATACAATTGAAAGAAACAATACATTTAAAAAACTCAATCATTATTAGATACTATAGTTCATTCATCTCTTTAGCAAAAGTTCAAGCATTTCAACAAAAATAATCTTCTTTCGTGGTTCTTTCTTCTTTCGTAACGTCGTGGTGGCCCGGAGGTTTAAGACTTCTCATGCATGAGGGTGCGGGTTCGAAACCTACCAACGGCAAGTACCAATGTGACTTTTTCCGAGTTATATGTACTTTCTAACATTATTTAGACACCACTGACAAACGGTGAAGGAAAAACATCGTGAGGAAACCTGGACTTATAATTTCTAATTATAAGTTTGAAATCGCCAACCCGCATTGAGCAAGTGTGGTGATTAATGCTCTAACCTTCTCTGTGTAAGAAGAGGCTTTGCTCAGCAGTGGGCATTTATAGGCTGTTGATGATGATGATGATGAAAATCTTCTTCCACTTGAAAATACATCACACTATGGCAAAGATCCCAAGAATCGGTTTAAAAGTTTCATTGTGCATGGTAACGGGGATTTAGATCTACTTACTGTTTTGCATAAAATAAACCTGGTACTCCCGTACTGTAGCGTAATATTTTATAGCCTACTAGCTTTTACCCGCGGCTTCGCACGCATCACAAAAAGATAAAAAGCCTATGTGACATATGCTCACACACAGCGCCATCTATACCAATAATTTCGTTTTCCCTCGAGAATACCAAATTTCTCCGGGATAAAAAGTACCCTATTATTTAATCCAGACTTCTAACTTTACGTCTGCAAAAATTCAAAGCAATCGGTTTAGTAGTTACGGCGTTAAAGCGGAACAAACAAACAAACTCACTTTCTGATTTATAATATTAGTAAGGATAGCAGTCCTCGATAATTGGACTATCCAATACAAAAAGAATTAATAATTACGAACCAGAAAAAAAACTATTTGCTTTTCTTATTTCATGGGCCGACATTGGTCCACTACAAGTTCCGTAATTAGCACAAGCAAAGAAACTCCTCAGCTTTATAATATACAGTTGTACAAATAATTTACTTTCTGTTCAGTGTATCTGTATTTCTTAATATGCTTATATTTTATTCTGTATTTCAGGTACCCGCTGAATGGTTCGGCTGGCTCCACTACAAAACTGATCTGCCCCCACACCAGGTAAGCAATATATAAATATATTCTTATGAATAATTCACAGTTGTAGCATGGAGTCTGGAATTGTGCTCGGTATATGACAATAGGCTCACCTCCTATTACATGGGACTCATAACATAGATAGTGAAAAGTAGGTGTTACATTGTACAGTGGCATAATGTACACCTCTGGCTACCTCTTCGGAGATAAAAGGCGTGATGTTATGTTATGTTAATCTTATGAATCACAACATCTCATATATATCATTGCTGCTTCGTTGCCCGAGTGGTCGCAAGTGCGACTGTCGGGCAAGGGGTCTCGGGTTCGATTCCCGGGTCGGGCAAAGTATTACTGGGTTTTTAAAAAAAAAATCTCAGTAGTAGCACGGAGTCTGTAATTGTGCCCGGTATGTGGCAATAGGCTCACCCCCTATCACACGGGACTCGTAACATATATGGTGAAAAGTGGGTGTTACATTGTGCAGTGGCATAATGTGCACCTCTACCTACGCCTTCGCGGACAAAAAAGGCGTGATGTTATGTTATTTATGTTTTTCATATTCCAGGACCCAAGCAGACCCAAATACAAATGGATGGCTGATTTCACAGAGAACATGTCAGGCACGACCGGTCAATACGTTCCCTACAGCACGACCAGGTCCAAGGTGGAACCCTGGGTGCCTAAGAAAGCTGCTTAAACCTTCAGCCGGATCATGCCCTTAGTATCATTCTATAAAACTCACTTTCAACAAGAAAAGAAAAACAAAACGCAATTTATTTGACACTTGTCATGTTTTTGACAGATGTCAAAACTGACAGCTGTCAAAATTACACTACGTTCGGGTAAAATCTGTTTTGCAGTGGTTTGTAATGAAAATGATGATGCTGTGGGGACAGTGACGTTGTAAAATTCAGTGGAATATTTAACTCTATAGTTTATAAGTAGAAAATGAAATAAATCATATTTTGAGTTCATTGTTACATTTGTGTTTTTTATTCATAGTGTGTTTACGGCCTGCTCAGATGTCGCTCTCGCGTTCCGCATGTAAGTTTACAAAGGCTAAGGAAAGCGCTCTCTAATAAACCTGATATGTACTTTTAAACTGATCCTTTGATTTCCCAACTAGCCTTTTGCTCGGTTTCGCCCGTTGCTTGGCTCCTATTAGTCAAAGTGTGATGTTTTACAGCCTATAGGCTTCCTCGATAAACGATAATGGTGTATATTAGTAAACTGAGGGACCAAACTGGATATTTCCGTCCGCAAATGAAATGAATTACCCAACAAAAAATAATTCATCAAATCAGTCCAATGGTTCCGCAGATGAGCGGTTAAACAAACTAGCAGTTTTATATCCAACCAAAAACATTCGGCAAAAACTAGCTAAGTCTCGATGGAACCACTCGTTCATCTCTAAAAAGTAGTGAAATCTAGACAAAGTCGTGCCAAGTCTGAGGTTCCTTTTGGCTCGCTGCCAATGCAGCGGTAAGTCCCCTCTTTGAGGAGTGGCTTAAGGGACGCTACGGCGTCACTCACCTACCGCCTGACGCAGGTCTGGTACCTGTGTCTGATGGGGCGGGAGGAAACGCCCGGGTGACACGGTGGAACACACAGTAGGGGAATGCCCTGCGTGGGCTGAGCACCGCCGTGCTTTCAGGCCCTAGTGCAGGTCATGATGCGGAGCGAGGGGGACTGGGATGCCGTCTCCTCACAACTCAACCATCGCGAAGGACACTCCGTGCGTCGGGGAATCCGAGACGATCCCCGGCCACCGTAAGCGCGGGCCTGCGGATGGCGAGCATGGGTGGCTCGCCGCCCGACCAGAACCAGACCCGAGCGTACGGCGCGTCGCGTTCCGCGCGCCTTAAAGAGGCGTCAAACCACCACGGATGAAGCCCAGTAGGGCTGATGGCGATAAGGCGCCGCGGAGGACTTAACGTTGCCGGGGTTCCGGCTTGAAAGGCAGGAGTAGGAACGGGGTGGTTTTTAGTCAGTAAGAGTCTGACACTCCCTCCCTTCTCACCCAGGCGGAAGAAGTCATTCGATGATATTTCCCCCCTTAAAAAAAGTCTGCGGTTCCTTACTGCGATTCTTTATCATTATAGTTAATGTTGTATGACTGTTGAAGGGTGCAAGACACCATTGCACCTATCTGTCGCCATTATTTATCATCCAATGGACAATTGAATCGTCCCCCCTCCTCTTCAAAAAAGGTATTTATGCAATGTGGCAATAAGCACGCTCGGTTAGCATGCTTCATAGCGTTGGGAACAGTTTCATTTGTACCACACACCGCATTCAGTTATTATTTCTACTCGAAAACCTGTTTTCACTGCCATGAGTCCTGGCGAGCGGTGCTCAAAGTTTATTAGCCGAGTTCTGTGCAAAGATGATCATGACTGCTGATATTGTTTGAACATGTAATGCGGGTTGACTGTGTGATTAGTGGAGTACTGGAGTTGGTGTGAAGGTTCGATTCCCGCATGGAAAAAAAATCTTAGCGTCTGTTTTACCATCTTCTTACACTTATGTGATGGACAGTGGACAGTCCATACAAATTACAAATTAAACTGGTAGGTACTTACATAGCTCAGATATGATCCAGGCGTTTAGAGCGGAAAAAGACATATGTAATTGTTTTAAAAACTAATCCCTCACGTGCGGTGTCATTCGTTACTCGGCCCTTATCGGCTATGCGTAATGTTATATAGCAATTTTTTTAAGGGGGAAAAATCATCGAATTGTTGCTCTCGCCTGGGTGAGGCGGGAGGGAGAGTCACACTCTTACTGACTCAAAAACCACCCCGTTCCTACTCCTGCCCTTCGAGCCGGAGCCCCGGCAACCCGTTAGGTTCTCTGCGATTACTCTGAGACTGGATGTGTTGTGTCGTATATGCGAGTGCATGAACTTCTCGCTTTAAATATTTACAGATTGCTAGATATATATTTATTTATTCCATTTATTTATTGTTTATGTACACATGAACAACACATACATAAAAACAAGGTACGTAGGTACATATAATTATAATCTACTATATAAAAATAAGTCGGGTTTTCCTTCCTGACGCTATAACTCCAAAACGCACGAACCGATTTCCACGGTTTTGCATTCGTTGGAAAGGTCTCGGGCTCCGTAAGGTTTATAGCAAATAAAATTCAGGGAAAAAATTCTTATCTTTTAATCACCAAACGAAATATTACATGAAACGAAGCCATCTAGTGGCGAAACGGAGTTCGCCGGGTTTGCTAGTTAAGTATGTAAGTACATTTACAAAGAAAACATCAACAAAATGAAACGTTTTAGTGATAAAAGCGCCGCTTGATTTATTTTATCGACTTCCTTTTTACCATCGGCGGGAGTTTTGTCCATCTGTGTCCCATATACTGGCAGCTGACGGTGATGGATTGATGGCGATATTTTTGGCTTCGGACATCACCATTGATGTGCGGTGTCTATTAATAGATCGACAATCGTGATTTACAAGTTATTGTGAAAGTAAGAAGAAAGAAAGCTTGCACAAAAACATAATGAGTAAATAAGGTGGTTCCATAATCTCTGCCTAACACCATGAGAGACAAGCGTGAGGTTATGTACTTTTTTTATTTATTTTTTAAGCGGGTAAAATCATCGAATTACCATAGTATAAAGAACAAAGTAGGTTATCTTCATACAAATGCTCCGCGCGCGGCTTATATGTGTGCGCCATAGTATCTATGCGTCGACGCACGCACACTTTAACAAAATCTCGACCCGTTTCTCAGTGCGCCAGGCAGGGCTGACACTGTACGAGGTTCGCGCGCGCTTCACGGCTTTTCGGCACTGTTCAATGAAATAAAAAATGACTGATAATCGTAGAAGAACGTATTGCTGTGTGTTTGGGTGTCTTAATAATTAATCGATTCCAGAACTGTCTCTGTTCAGATTAGGTGCCTATTGAACAGGAAAGGTAAGCTAGTCACTTTTTCTAGCATAATATAATTTGTAGGTACTTGATGATGAGATACCTACTTACTTATTCTTACTCTTATCATTCTTCATAGTTCCTACTCAACCAGAAATGTAATTACCTACTATACTTAAATATTATATTATATTTGGTATTGTATCGTTTATTTCACAGTTTATCTGATTTGTTAAGAGCGTAGCCGAGTCGCATTTTTCCATATAAATGTATTCCCAAATTTACTTTCTGAATACTATGTATAGAGCTAAAGTTTATTTTAAGAAGTTAATAATCTTTTTATAAGCTTTTAATTTTTACTAATTTTATAAATTGATAAAATATTCAATCATAATATGCTTTTCATTTCATAAATTTAGATCAAGTGCTGCTTGTTCGAAAATATTAACTAAAAGTAAAAGTGACAACCCTGGGGATCAACGCAAGAGTAGGCTAATAACTCGGCGGGCGGCCTTAGATAACCTACTGTGTTCTTTATACTATGGAATTACTGCTCCCGCCTGGGTGAGGCGGAAGGGCGTGTCAGACTCTTACTGACTAAAAACCACCCAGTTCCTTCTCCTGCACGTCGAGCCGGAGCCCCGGTTACCCGTTAGGTTCTCCGTATTTATGTATGTAAAAACACATAAAACTGAACTTTTACATCACACGCAGACCCGAAACTGCAATTTATGTATCACCCAAAGAATTTTTCCGTACGGGAATCGAACCCGCTACACGTTGCGCGTCAGCCGATCGTCCAGACACTACGCCAACTGTGATTTAAGATTGAAAACGTCTATAGATAGGTACTTTGTCCTATACAGGCATTGAATTCGAAACCTCGACTATACAGATTATGAAATACACACATATAACCCGCTACTACTGTCCTCTATAAAGATTACCTAGAAACCATTTTTTTTTATTTCGACATACTCAAAGATGTACGATCATTCAGCCTCTCAAACCGTGGTAATTAAAACATCCGAAGTCCGTATCCAAAAAGGTCGGAATACGTATAAAAAAAAGTTTTAGAATCTTTGCCACGAACCAACTGCCCACTGTATAACTACAAGCGCACGATTCAAGACCCAAGCTTTTTAACAATAACCATTCAAAATTCAACCTTAAGGCTTAATCACAAAAACTTAAATTCAATTAACCGACTCCATAAGTATGATCACACTAATGCAATTTGTCTACTGTAAGGGAAATTACGTGTTAACTTCTTAGCAACAAAGTTTAATATTGAGTGCGCTAATCAATTAAGCTCTGAATAAGAACGAAACTTTTTTTGCCATCACAGGTAAAAATATCTTCAACTCGACTCAAAACCAGTGAAAATGCGACGCGGCGCGGTTCGTACGCGTGTCACGTTAGACCTTTATATAGTTTTATAACTTAAAAATATAGTTTTTAAATGAAAAATGAACGGATAAATGTAAATCTTTGTTTGTCAGTGAGTGAACGACCGTGCGCCGTCCGTGTGACATGTGTTCCATTTTATAAAATCAGTTTCGAAATTCGAAATAGTTGTGTGGTGTGCAAAAGTTGTGCTGTTACACGAAAACAGGATTTTGTGATTATTTAAAACCTTTATGGTGAGTTATAGGTTATAATTTGTTATTTCATGGTTATTTTAGTTATTTGATTGTGATTTTGAAGTATGACCGGTGAACAAAGAAACTGTAAACTAGTTTTGAAAGTAAGCGGCGTAAAATTTCGTTAGTTGTAAAGCGGCCTGCTAACAAGGATGTTTTGTGTTGAATCTGTGCCTCTTGTTTTTTTATAGAAAAAAAGTTAAGTGGGCGCTAAAAGTATTGTCCGTCCTATTCTTTTTCAAATCGAAGATTGGACATGCGTATTATCTTAAATGAATATTGTATTGTAGCAAAAATAACATTAGTTTGTGAATTGAAGCTGATTTGTAATTACATTATTAATGAAATTAAGTACCTACTTGCGTCTGTGCATTGCAAGCATTTATTAATATGTACTAGAACCAATGGTATGCAGATAATAAATTGATGTTTTGCAGTTGTGTAATTAACTATGTTCGATTGTTTCCGAACAATTCGTTATACAATACATGCGATTATTTTGAAAACTTAAATGAGTGTGAGAGGCTTAAGTTAAAAAATGAAATAAGTAAGTAATATAATAATGGCGAAACAACAGACCGCTTCATTGGTCAAGTGTGACCTCCACTACATTTATGAACTACATCTATGGTGACCTCGGTTTCGGTTCCCGGTTCCCGGCAAAATATACCTACGTACCTACTTACTTTCTATGATTAGGTTTGCGACTTCCAAATGCGTTTGTTATAAAGTATTATAAGCTGTAATGTATGTTTACACAGTTTAAAACTATGTAAAAAATTGGGACTGACATCGAAAATTCGTCTTATTCAAAATTGGATAATATTCATTTTTTTTAAATAGGTGAATGTAATGTGCAAAGCAGTTTTGTATCTGCACTCTGCACTTCTGCAGTAAGGAAAACATATTATAAAAAAAACATAGAAAGTTTTCAATAAAAAAAAATAGTAGTAAATTAAGTACCAACATAACAAAATTAGGAATAGCGAATAGGTAACAAGTTTAATAGATACCATGAAAGTAATTTCTACTATTTCTATAAATCTATTGTTTTCACGGTAACTAATAGAGCGTAAAATGGGTATATTAGGCTGTACAGAATATTTTTTTTAAATCGTATCTAATGGCTTCTGGACAAAATGGCCGACTTTAAAATTAAAAAATGACCCGTGAAATGGTGTGAGAGGTAAATTTATCGTATTAACCTGCAATTAATGTATGTGTTTGTGTGAAGTGGAATCTGGCAACTGAATTTTGCAGCAGATATCTTCAACCGATTGAGCTAAAGTTTTTTATACACGTTTAGTTTGCATAACCATAAATACCAAACTAAATAAAAGTTTGTTTTTAAGAAGATTTTCACCTACATATGTAGTTAATTATATTTTATGGATTTCCAAAACGTTGTTCCAACCTGGAAAAAAAATCTGCGCATTTGTATTATTTTTCTTTTACACACGAACTTTTTCCTAAGAAAAACAAACCACAATAAAGAATTAGCAAAATCGGCTCAGCTGTTCTCGAGATTTGAGTTTCACAACACATTCAGCAATTCTTTTTTTGTATTTTTTTTATGGCATAAGCCGGTAAACGAGCAGACGGATCACCTGATGGTAAGCAATTGGCGTCGCCCATTGACACCTGGAACACCAGAGGCGTTACAAGTGCGTTACCGGCCTTTTGGGGATTAGGAGTTTGAGATCGTTGAGGATTCAGGAATTGCGGAGATAGGGGAAGGGGAGGGTAATTGGGCCTCCGGTAACCTCACTCACACGACGAAACACAACGCAAGCGTTGCTTCACGTCGGTTTTCTGTGAGGCCGTGGTACCTATCACTCTGGTCGAGCCGGCCCATTCGTGCCGAAGCATGGCTCTCCCACACTTAAATGTTTATGTTATAGATTATCTGTATAATCTAGTAAAGAGGAATTATTCAAAGAAGATTCTAAATACTGGTTAACGTAACCAACCACGCGATGGACATAATTATGATACAATCTAACAAAAGAGAGTGAAGCCATTAGGGAAGCACTAAGTGAAGCAGTAGACATCTTGTGACTGATTACATGATGAATTGTTGTTAACGATTATGCTTAAAACCTTTGGTTACTTCATAACGTGAGTAGAGACCGCGTTCTGCGCTGTTATTGGTTGGTTTATTGAAGCCGGCTAATCAGAACGCCGAATGCGGTCTCGATTATTTTAAACGTAAAACGAACACGATCTAAACCCTCTGTTTACCCATCTGCTTCTCTGTGACGTCATATGCTATGCGTGTGTGTGTAACTAGTTTCCTTTTACATCCTATTCAATACAGAACGCTGACAATGTCAAGAATTTGTCATCTGTTATTCCACAAGCTGTTGCGCATAGCTGCACGCATTGCACTCTGCAAAGTTTCCTATAAGTTATAAGTACTATTTCTTGTTTGTGACATACCACTTTTTAACTGAAGTGAAGTGACATTCCTGTACCTCCTTGTAAGGGAGGACCATCACGGTTGTTTTATTTCAAAGCGCACTGTAGACCAACCACAAAGTATTTTAAAAACTTTGTAAAAGCAAGCTATTATGCAGCTTGCCATTTATGCACAAATTGGACATGACATTCGAAGAAAAAAATTACTGAGTAAGTTCTATGTAGGGTGAACTCATCTAACTTCGTGACAAAGGCATTTGAGTAATAAAATACCAATAAATTATTAATTAATTTAATTCAGTCTCCGCATGAGTTTTAATCAGTCTTTTATGAGGAATATTAGCACAAATAATCAGATTTTTTTCTAGAAACCTAAGAGTTCTACCAAATTTACTAAACCGAATTATTAGGCGAGTCACAGAATTAGATGAGTTCACTATACTTACCTTTACCACTTTTCCGTGCCGTTACTGGGTCTTTATTCCGTGCTGTTACTGGGTCTTTATACAGACAGAGATGGGACAAGGGGACGTTGTTTATTTAATAATACGGTGATTTTACTAGTATTTTAATGACTACAAACACAAGACACAAAGATGAAAACGTTTGAGAAAACTTCCTGTTGCAAGATAAACAAGATTTTATATCCTTTTTGATGTGTCTGCTGGAGTCTGGAGTGCAGTTCCAGGATCAAGGAGGAATGATATTGGCGACCGATTTTTAAAAACAATATTGAACCTACAATGTATTTATGTGTGTGTGAAGTGGACTCTTGCAACTGAATTTTGAAGCAGATATTTTCAACCGATTGAGCTGAAATTGTTACTGTTTCGGGTTCGATAATAATTCGGCCATTATTGTTTGTTTTTTTTGTTATAGTAAAACTTACTCCGTGAATAACATGGTAATCATGACATCACTGGTGTTTTTATGGGGTAAGCCGGTAAACAAGCAGACTGATCACCTGATGATAAGCAATCGGTGTCGCCCATGGACACTTGGAACACCAGAGGCATTGCGTTACCAGCCTTTTGGGATTAAGAATTTGAGGATTGCAGGGAATGCGGGAAATGGGGGGGAGTGGTAATTGAGCCTCCGGTAACCTCATACACACGACGAAACACCACGCAAGGTGACATAAACTGTCGGTTTTCTGCTCGGCCGTGGTATCACTCATGTCGAGTCGGCCTATTTGTGCCGAAGCATGGCTCTCCCTGACACTTGAATTTATAAATCACCCAAACTACAATATTTATTCGTCTTCAAACTATGTGGCGCTTTAATGTAACCTATTTAAGAACTTACCTATATCCTTTAAATGCAGGTAAAGGTTTTTTCTGAGAACACGAGGGGATGAATTTGGTCAAAATTCTTGTCATATTTTTTTCATCATTGGCTGAATGCAGTACACCTTTGTAGGGATGAATTTATCACTCATCTGTGCACGAGTTGAAAAGAAAAAGGTTATTATTTGATATTTTTATATTTGCGTTTGGTTTATCTTCTGATGTTTGGTTGAAAAATTTAGGTAAAAACTGTTAAAAGTTTTGGAATGCTTTAAAATTATTACTAGATAAGAGTGTAGCTGAGACTGAGACACTATTGCAGAATCTGTAAAAGGCTTTAAAAATGAATATAAAATAATGATAAGCTGCGCAAAAGGTCATGTTTTAGAAATATATTTATTTTTTTGTTGCGTTATTGTGACATGACATTGTGACTTCTAAGCACTGATCCTGGGGTTTGTAAAATTACACGTTTTGAGAGAGATCTACACTTCAGAAATTATATATTATCAACACCTAATTAGGTAGTTGTATCGATGTAGTTTCGGAATGCCAAATTAGGTACGTTGAATTTAACAACATAATCCGTATAAATGGTAGCACGTCCGCCTATACCTACGTATTAGAAACAAAAATAATATTTAAAAAAAGAACCCAAGTAAAAATGTTTCAAAACAATTACTTATTAAAAAAAAAAACAGTAAAACAATGACTTTTATTTCAATTGCCAAATAAAAAAAATAACAACAATGGCGTCGCTGTCATTGCGCGCGCAATTGAAAATAATACCTAAACGTTTGTTCTCACAGTAATCAATCAAAGACAGTGTTGGCTTACTGCAACTCCCGTAGGTACAGAGAATTATCAACCTTATCAAATTTGAAATAGAGTAAAAAATATGTTAACTGCATATAAAAATGTAGTGCAGGTCAATGTGCTTATTGTAGACAATAGTAAATACCAACTTTAAAAACTTTGTAATAGAGTCTAAACTGTGTTGAACGTATATGACAGTTTAGTGTACATTGATATGCGGCTTTTAATGATAATATAGGACTTTAATGGAGTCTATATAATTGTTAAGAATGCATGTTCTATTTTATGATGGAAAATGTAACTTTGATATGAGTGTAATATTTCTTACTATTTTCTACCAATGACTTCGCTCGCCTTCCCCTTCGATAAAAAGTAGCCTAGGTTCTTAAAAATTCTCAGTCGTACGGAGTCTGGAAATGTCCCTGGTATATGGCAGGCTCACCCCCTATTACATGGGACTCATAACATAAATAATAAAAA